TAGATGTTTGTAGAAATCACTAAATATTGAATAGAGATATATACATACGAGTGTAGCTTAGGTTATAAGAAACAAACGAATTGATTGACGTAATAATGGGAATTGTGTTAAAGCAAGCACGCAAATTGCACCTAGATCGTTTCAACAATCTCCACTTTACACCCTAAAAAACTGCCAATCCTTCTGAACCAATATAAGTATGGACTGGAAGCTGTGGAAATCCCTCCCTGTATAGTTTTCAAAATAATATATAATCGAAGATGGTAACCGAACCTGGCCATTCTGTGCTTCTGTAATGATGAAATGCCAACCTTGAGCGTTTACCCAAACTAGATAATATTCTGATTTAGAGTTCAATCAGAGCAGTCTTGTTAAACTTCCTTTTTCTAAGACAAATTTTAACTCCACCGTTCAGCAATGCTCTAACTAGCGGTTCGTTATCTGGCTGTCGACCAATTACATGTATTTATTTATCAATTTACCTGCTAATAGACTATTCTAATTGGCCGCAAAATAGACCTCCACAGAGAAGAACAAATAACAGTTGGTCGTATTAACTATTAAATGGCTCAAACCTTGGGGCGTCGACAACTGTACTACGATAGTGTGCTCTCTATACATTGCCCACAGCGGAAAGGAGTGCAATAACACAAATTACCACTGAAAGGTTACTAAAACTACCAAATACAATTACGCACAATCATATATGGTCAACTGTAATGTCATACCAATATAATGAAAATTATATACGAACCATGTAAGACGGAGAGTAAAGAATGCCCGTTCTTGACGAAAATCACCACCTTTCTATTTACGACCACGGCGATCAGCGCTGGTGTGCTATCCCGAAACGCTGACGAGAGATCACAATAAATAAGGATTGTGTGTAAAAAGACAAAATCAAATAAGACTTGTACTACACATCGTTGTACCAGTACAATAAAAAGCGATGGTGATTTACGCCTGGCTAAACAAATGTACGTAGCCGTTCCGACAAATGGATTATACAAATAAACCGTATTCCAAATTAAAAAAAATTAAGCAATGTTAAGGCAGGCTAGATATTAAAAAGTCGAAATAAATAATCCATTCTTTACCCCGAGGTATGAATCATACAATGATTTTCAAAAATTTATTAAGAATCATAGTTTGTTGATGTTTGGATACAGTTGTGCGTGGCGTAGACGTGTTTAGGAATTCAGCTACGGAAACCCATGTAATTTTCCAGCATACAATGATACCATAACCACTCAATATACTGTTAGTTGTTCAGTGTGAAAAATCTCGCTCGTGCCAAATATGCTACTTTTTATTGCGAATTATTGTCGCCGTATTTGCTCCGTTATTTTGAAAACAATTACGATAATAAATCATGCAAATGCAATAATACACGTCTCGAACCTACAATGGCAACAATTAACAAGGTTCATTATACCTCGCCATTTTATAATAATAACACGATATATTAATCAAGTAGAAGAATTTTCGAATCATAAATTTCTGGGAGTCATGCATATAAGCATTATAATAGGCTGCTTAGGTGAGCTTTTAGTTGAACGTTACCTTCCTCACACCCATTGTTTTATAATTTACAGTTTACACAACCGAAATCATTTCACTAACACTTAAAATATGCTACGGAATTAAACGATAAGTTCCATGCAAATTTTGACCCTAACATCCCCGCAAACTACTAAGCTTGTAAATGACAATTTTCTCACAGGAAGTTTGGCGATGTACTTAGTTATCTACACGAAATCTGTCTCCACACATACGATGTAATTTGTATAGGCAATTTTCGGGTCACGACATTTTCAAAAAAATCACAGGTGAAATTAGAGGATCATACACGAACAGTTAATGAATTTTAATCAGTTAATATTGCTAAATGGAATTCACCAAAGTATCGAGATTGATGATAGCTTATTTAAAAGTATTTTATTTGTGGCTTTCGAAGACTTAACCAGAGAGTCAATTATTTTTTTGCAACATCATTGATTTTTCACCACGACGCACGAAGACAAACCAATAACCATAACACGGTAATTGACTCTTAAAATAAGAGTCATCTGATAACAGAATACATGTCCCAAGCCCTTGCCTCCATGAATATCACAAATGGCTCTAAGCCTGATCAAAACTATTTATGTCATTTAGCTTCTCTATCATCTACCTATGCTCCTAACATTTTTTTGGTAAATTTCATTTCTAAAACAAGACGGAAGCTGGTTAATTATTGATTTCAGGAGAGAAAAACAAAATACCACATCAATATGTCGCGTTATATCTAAACTGTTCACTAACAAATATAGTCTTATCTAATTCAGGCAAAAATTTACACGATATGTACCTTTTACTTGATGGGTACAACGAGACACAAAGAAAGACTCGAAATGCAAGAACGCACTGACTCTATTCAAGGTTTCTCATGCGTTGAGAGACTGCTACAGTATTTTATATTGTTTTATTCAGTGTATTAACGCAGTTGACTAAGCTTGAACAAATGACTTTTCTGATCTCACCATGTATGTTTAAATTATCATCAAACGGGAATGATGGCTTGACAGAATTTCTTGAAATTTGATTTAAAATCGTATTGTGTTACAGGTCAAGCGCGTTTCTTTGTTTAGAAACCTCTCGTGAATCGTGGATACAAATTTCAAAGACTTTTGAAACACCCGATCAAGTGAAAAATAATTCTACGTATAGTTACGAAGAATTTGAAATTCTACTCATCGGTACAAATTTTTTTATTATAACTTCTTTGAATTTGATAAGAGAGAGTACTCGTTGGGATAGTTGAATTGTAATCTGGGACGACATCTAGAGGATCGTGTCATTAAAAAAGACGACGAACTTGTGATGGAAATCTGGTCGTATTGTATATGAAGTCAACATATATAATATTATGTGTATTTATATATTGTGCAGTATCCACAGAACCATGAATCTTAATTTATAGAAGGTTATCTTTCTTTTTTTGTATACTAGTAATGATAAATTCAGCTCCTCTTTACGCTTAAAATTTTAATGGCGAGATTTTACATATTGATTTGTATACAAATTCTAACATTTCACATTAAATATTAATAGTTCACTCTGTTGGCTCAGTCATCTTAATCATGATTTCAAACGGAAGTACATACTATTCTTGCGCCAATCTGTTTAAGAAACTAGGAAATAACAAATATAGGATTAATTGCAAAATATATAAAAATAATTAAGCGACAACGATTAACATGTAATTTTCTGGCAAATTCAGTCTGTAAAAATTTTTTCCAAACTTGCATGGCCAACGGATGGATCAATAAAGTTGCTACAAACTAACTATTGTTATATTTGTTCAAACATGGCAGAAGATAATACTTGATATCGGAAAAAGATCACGAATTTCGGCTCTGAGTCGAGACGACATTGGAGATGATTAATGTCAAAATGATTTGATTAATTTCATGAAAAAGAATATTAGATTGATATAGATGTTATATAGTATATACTTAGCAGTAGTGGAAATGTATTATTAGTTAGGTTCAAATCCTATCAGTATTTCCGAAGTTTTACAGACGTAAAGGAATGAATAGATTGAAAAAAAGTTGTCACCTCAATCGCTATTTTGTATTTGATCCATTTTGCTACGAATAAGCACAAGATTTATTTTTTTAAATATAAACTTAAAATATTAAAAAACTCATATGAAATGACTGAACAATCTCTACATAACGTGTTATACATGATAAGTGTATAGTGTTTTGCATTCATTCCTTAAAATTATATTCATTCATTCATGACAGACCTTCCTTAAACCACAAACATTTTTTAAACCAGTAGTACGTCCAAGTTCAGCACACCGATAGCTTCGATCATCCGGCGAACCTACTTGTCTAAATCAGGTGTTCTCATTGCGGGACCCGTGGCCAATGTGGGTCGCTAGACGATTTCAAGTGGTATATTAATCTATCACGTTCACGCACATTTCGGACGAATAAATTAGAATCGAAAGCAAGCGGTTTTCCAATCGGGACAATTCCTCTAACCTAGAGTGGCCCGAAATCTGATTTTAGGCAATTTATTCACCGACATAAGCGTTTGAGTTGTGCACTTCTTACCTGGAATCTTTTTCTTAACCAATCAACAAGGAAAAAATGAGCCTGATTGCGACAACAGTGCATCCCAATATGCATAATTAAACAAACCAAAATCAAATCAGTGCAGCGTTCTCTAAACTTTCATCCATTAATTCCCCCGTCCTGTTAAACTTTGACGACTACGTCAAAACTAAAATGCACAAGGCAGTAAGTATATTTTGAAAAAAAATCGGGATTTTCCCACTGGCAGGTTACTTATTGATATCACCTATAATTAATTGAATACCTAAGAAAATCGTGTTGTTAACCAGATCAATGAATATTGGGACAAACCCTGACATTGATGTGACCTATGAATAGATTTGATTTGAATATAAGATTTTAAAATGATGCTAAAATTTCTATTTTTATAATTCTAAATTTGTTTTTGGACCTAAGTAAAATATTCATGCTTATTCATGTCTTAATGTTTCTTATAATACGTTTATCAGAAATTTGTCAGTGAAGGCTGATATGGTAATGAGCTCAAATGCAACCCAAACAAACAAAACACGACAATATCACAATGAGAATATATTTCAACTTCTACTTGTTGTTACTGCAGGTGCGACATGATAATCGTACAATTCTGGTGTACATGCCTTCCAATTAGGGCATCAATAATCCAACAACACAAGTTCCTAGATATCTACCTTTCATCGGACCACGTATTTGCAATTTTGAAAAACACGTCATACACGATTTTTATTACGTCACAATCGTTACGTTTTATTATTCAAACCACAGTAACGAGCTTCATACTTTAAACAGAATTTCCCAATACTTGCTTAAAAATAGCAGTAATCCCCTATATTTTCTTCATACGGATTCCAAGCGTACAAATATACTACCTCATAAATAATATCAAAGACTCACTTTTTGCATTTGAAGCATGTCCTGTGATAATGAAGACCTTTCACCGATACATGTTCCAGATTGGTGTTTACCGAGAACCCGCAACCGTTGCACGTGTTTGGATTTTCACTGTAAAGAAAGAAAAACGAACGAATATTAAAGGTTAAAATTAAGAATTGAACTTTCTGACACGTTTGAAAAATCGAGACAATCATCTAAACTTATTGAAACAACGAAATATATGGTAGGCGTAGGCGCATGGGTCGGCAACCTTTTGTCGCTAGCGGGCCAAAATTAAGTGTTGCAAATCTTGGCGGGACGTACATAATATTTAAAAACCAAACGGGTGGACTGATGGCTGATGAATCATATTTGTACACAAATCAGAAGTTGAAATTTTAGACTTTAAATAGCGAGCGAACACTGTGACGACTTGTCTTACTAGGAAAAAATGTACAAATGACATTTAAGGTGACACTTGTTGTTGCATTACGTTTGATAGCTTTTCGACATCAGGTGACACACTGCATTAAGCCAAGATTATAACATTTTCTAAATGTTCATCACCAATCCTAGTTCTCCGCGTATTCTTTGTAAAGTTAAAATATGGGGGGAATTCGCATCCGCCGTTTTGTCGCTGAATCCCAGTGAAGCATCGCTGGCTGGATTATTTCACTCCGGATATAGCCCGCGGGCCGTAGGATGCCGATCCCTGGTGTAAGATAATTAGTCAAATAATGGTCACATATACGGACACAAAGGTCGATAACGGTATGATGAGGCCTGAGATCGCGGAAGACGCAATACAGAAAAAAATTGTTCTTAAATTAAAATAAAACAGTATAATGTTTGGTAAAATATCGGGACTTATCTATATATCACTAAAAGGCAATTAAACACAATATTAGCAAATAGTACTGAAAATGTGAAATCGATTTAATCAACGGAAAAGAGCGATGTCTTGCCTACAACAGCAAGTACCACAAAAACAACAACAAGACTTCAGCAAAATAAAAAGTTTTCCAAATGGCTGAAAATTCCAAATAGCTGAAAATATTCGATCGAATAGAAACAATCAAAGTTCATATTAATAACTTACTAGGAAGACTAAATATTATATCTATATATAAATAATAGTCATTACTTTTCAAACATCAAAATTTTGGGCTATCCAGTTCTTGACGACACTTTGAATAAGTTTATTAATTTCTTTGATAGCACGCATCAAAAAATATTAAAACGATGAAATAAATTGTTTTTCTAAAATTAAATGAATTATTGGCTTGTTAACAAATATATAACTGTTGTTTTGAATAAAAGGATTGGATAGTGAAGTATTCGCCGGTTATTCTGAAAGTACCAATAAATAAATGTATACCAATGTTGTTTATTATTTATTTGTAATGAATGCATGTTATAATATAAATCGTTTATCAAAAGCTGTCAAACTATGGGCTCCGATGATTGATGGGTTTTACTGTCAAATCGGTCTCGACGTCCAATGTTTTGAGTTAGTTTTTCTTAGAATTTATAAAACACTAAGACACGTTCGAAAAAATTGTTAACTTTACATGAGTTTGGGATTTTATTCCAATTCCATAGTTGGATACCATCATACGTTTTTTAATCACAGATACATGCTAAATATAATTATGTTACACGATTTTTTGGACATTACTGAATACCACTTGGACAGCAACAAATTGAGACAAACACGAACTTGGCAGTGTGTTCACGTTATTATAAGTGTTTGTATCTTTATACAAATTATGAAGGGAAATTCCAAACGTTGCTAAATTAGAAATTAAGATTCACTTCCTGCGGAAGAGTGTATTCTCATCAACATTTTTGCAAAAAAATACAGGTCAACAAAGTCAACAGATGGTTTGAATAAAAAAATGCGTCACAAACATTTTTAAACCGGCAGACTAAACGAAAATGATATCTGAAGTGAAGATAATTGTTCTAGCTTCTAAGTGATTCAAGTGTCTTGCTACACACTAACACAAGTATATTTCTGTAACGTTTCGTCTTTCTAATTAAATTAGGTATGTGTCTGAGGCAACCTTACCTTGGTTACAGTATCTACGTTACAGTAATATAATTATATTAGTGTGCAGCGGGAATATTGTATCACTTTTATTGCCAATAAATTATTTTAAAAATGGCCAGCTATTGTATATATATAGCCTTTCATTCGCCAAACTTGAAAATAGTTGCTCACGAGAGAATCCCGCGAATATATTATTAGTGTATACCACAGCTTGCGCTAAAGCTTGTCACGGGGTAATCATTCTAAAGAGAGTCCTGGCCATCTTTCACAAACTCACTCATATTTGAGATATAAAGGAGGGATACTGGTTCGACAAATTCAGTAGTTTCGGTATTTGAATATTAAAAGTAATGGCCTACGTAGACTAAACTACATTCTAGGAAGCTAACAATTGTCAACTTGAAGATCTGTAATGCACACGTCAATGCTCGAGAATATAACAACGAAAAGATTACATATAGATATATATATATTCGTTGGCAAGTATATTGAAACACTGATTAGTATGCAAAATATTAATGGTAACTTACTCGTATTTAGCATGAGAAATAAAAGAGAAATTCAGTTTGCAAGATTTGTTTTGTCCTAATTTAGAACACCAATTCTCCAAACTCATCGTAATCTTCCTTGTATGAAATTTGCAAAGACATGAACGATGCCAAATATAGATTCACGATTTCAATTGAATGCAATTTGTCATATTCTACTCATGTAAGTTATGCTTTAACGTAGCACGGATGGATATTAAATGTATCAAAATACTACAGAAAAATATTTTTCAATATAAAACGCCTAATAGATTTTACACAACATTTTATATTTATTCAAATTCCAGCTACATTTGTTTTTATTTTTATACATTTTTGCTCCTTACAAATAGGCCATCCATAAACCATCCATATTCGTAAATATACATCTCATTTCTGCACAACACGATACATTATATATATCAGTGCTTCAGATTTTGTATACCGGTATGTGTAAATTTATTTCATCGTAATGATAAGATATATAGTGACTAATAATAATGTTAGAGGTGGGATGCATGTATGATACCTTGCCGGACAGAATAGGAATGCACGGCACGCAACACTCTTACGAATACGGAAATATGGAACAAACGTAGAAACAGTATTTTTACAAACAGTTGCTACTGGTACAGCTTCGTGGGAAGACAAATGCAGACCCGTACAAAGTGAACTGTTTGTACTCGAGCTACATCAGGGCTTTATTCGAGAACTGTTATTAAAAGTATAAAATATGGCAACTAACAAAAATTGATAGTAATAGTACTAGACAACATATGCGTCAAGTCTTTGCTGTAATTTCGCGTTTTCTTGATCGTGAAATTACACTCGTACGCAGCAAATCATATGTTAAAATGTAGAATATCACGAATGTACTTATATGGAACCATGAACCTTAGTTGCTCATATTTTAATAATGAATATTATTTACTAATTATTCTTATCATGCTATACAGATATATGAGAGTATTGAAATGTTTTGTATTTTTTTTTATATAATCTTGCAGATAATGATATACCCATTATTAACAAATATACATTATCGATTTAGTTTGAAATAGACTGGGGTCGTTGAATAAAAATGTTCGTTGCTGTTTATCAAGTAAAGGACACTTCAAAATAATAGCAAATTATTGCCAATTCAAGTGAAATAGATTTTAAAAAAGAACGAAAAATTGAATAAAATATTCCATCCCTCTTTCAAGATACAGTATCGAGAGGCCTATATATATTTCTTCAGTCCATTGCCAGGTGGATATCAATATATTTCATACAACCATAAAAAAAATTTCATGAACCGGCTACTGCAATTATACAACATAATTTTTGATTAAACAGCCAAATCTTTGTCTTATGACAAGTATAGAAACTTAGATAAAAAGCCGATTTTTAACTAAACTAATATTTATTAAGCGCTGGAGGATTGTCCTACCGCTGGAAAATTTCGTGATTTTCCCATTCTGTTTAAAGGTTATTTATCATGTTACGAGCAATTGTCCGTCACCCGTCCGCCCCAGCACAAGGGGGAATTGAGAACATTTAAAAATCAAATACACATTAAATGAGTAATCTAACCAAACACATCAATTACTACAGGGAACAAAATTATTTTTCGATATTTAGTCTTTTTTTAGGTGTTTAATTACGAAAAATGCAGCGTGTTAATCAGAAATTCATCACGCGCATTTTCTTTGTTATTCGTGACAGTTTACCAGCATAACTTGAAATAATTAGTACAAAACTATTCTTTATCAGTATCGATAGGTAGGGGATAATGACGAATCCACAATACAACAAAATGATTAATCACGACATCAGGTGAAGAACATCCGACAAGACAGGTCGATAGGTAATGAGGTAATGTCTCGGAAACGAAAGTTCAATATAGTCAGGTCGCCAAACATTTTGAATATAATGAGAAGAAAAAAAATTCATCACAGAATGAACTCCGATACGACCATTGAATGTATGAAAAAATTGTTTGGAGTGCAGTTGTGAAAACACCAATGTAAACAACGACTGTAACTGAGGTAGAAGATTTTCCACCATATTATCTAGAGTGTAATATGGGGATGGGTAGGTAAAAACGAAAGCAAAAATTCGAATTTCTAAAACGTTGCAACAGCCTACATTGTCCAGTTGTGCAAGATATACAAACAATGCTTTGCAGAGATATCATGGCCAAACTTACCATTTGCTTCCATGAACTTTGTACATCGACATTTTTCTAATTGGCCACGAAGGACGACGACGTGTCAGTTCAGTTTCTGTTGCTGACCTCCTCATTTTAACTTTGTGCATCATATCAAACCAGAATAAATTTAACTACTTATTTTGTAGTTTATCAACAAAAATTTGTAATTTATCGTACGTGTAAATACCAAAACAGTAAAAAGATTCTATCATATAATCTGTAACAATGTAACGCAAATATACTTTTATAAATATAAATTTAAAATATATTCATATAGGTAAAATCTATTAAAAATACTAACACTCAGCAATTTAAGTATACAATTGTCTTCCAGACTATATTTTCTTTCCAATTC